TTCGACACGTTTCTGTGTACAAGCGGCGATTTTTAGGATATACCATGCTTCATGAATCTGCTGTGTCACTAGCAGTGAAGATGTGCCTTGTACAGAGTATGTTGTAAACATTAAAAACTATTTTTTTTTTCATTTTATAGAGTGACAAATTATTAAGCATGTTATATAGTCGACTAGAAACCACTTTTGGTATTCTAAACTTCGCGTTCCTACGCCGCAGCGTTCACAGTGTTACCAATGGCACCCTTCGGAAAGGCAAAGTATTCGTTAATTCACAGCAGATTTTCTCGCGGATTTTTACAGAGGTTATAATTTATGCCACGTAATTTTCGGCTTTTCTCAAGCCACCGACCCATAGGGAATTTAAAGCGCGATGCTGGGCATTTGGTGCAGTAGCCATCAATCACGTCTGCTTTCGGCTCGCGAGCCATGGCTACCAGGCCAACAAAGACTGAAGTCCAAGAGGGGAAACGGTTTTAGTGGATGCAAGGGCTCATAGTACCGACAGTGTCTGCCCCACATTACCAATTTAAGCCATTAACACCTAGTTACAGAAAAATACTCATTGGCTTTTGCCCGCAAGCTAGCTTGAGGATGGCTGGCGTTTTTCGGCCTGCTTTCTCCGCTCGTAAGCAAAGTACATGTGCATTAACACTCCGAAAACATTGTGGTCTGTATAATCACTACATAGGGTTTTAAATACGGCTATATCCCACAAGGTATTATAGAGTAGTGGTCAGACATAGCATGGATGGTCACAGGTAATCTCTATGATTGTATTGGGTCTTGCTTTGAGCTTTGTCCTCACTCCATTTTGGACCTTATCTCGAACAAAATTCCGTTACCAGTTGCGTGTATACGTGATTCTAGGTCACCGGTCTAGAGGTATCACTATGATCTTACGCACAATTAAATTATTTATATAATACGAACAATACCCGGATTGCACAATATACAGTGTATTTTTAAGCTATCGTGAATGTATCTAAGAGGTGATAGAATTGAGCAAAGAAGCAATTTTAGAAATATGGCCAGGGCTCAATGGGGCTTTGTTCTATCGTGAAACGCTGTCCGACATCACCTATATAATTATATGACTAAGAAATCGATGCCGTTAACTACCGTTAAGTTTCCGTAACAAAGAGAGCGTATTGCCATAATGTACAGTACTTGATTTAACTATATGATTTTGCTAAGGATGCTAGGTGTAGTTTAAATTTATTAAACTCAATTTCAAAATTAGCGATAATAGTAACTTGCTAACTTTAATACGTCTATAATTGTACCGCATCAACGAACCGGTAGCTACTGGATGTGAGGCGTGTTAGCCTGTCTTATACGTTATTATAGAACGAGGCCTTAGTGATTCACTGACCCTTTACGGAAAGTGGCCCAGTTGATAATTTCTATTCATTTTTATAATATTTTTCGCCCATCCAAACTTATTCACATAATGCAAACCTTCTATATCGCGCAGATTATACAAAAATGTTATATCATTCAAATATTTCTACATTTGTGGCCTAGAGCCACATGAATAGGCATACACATTAATCAACTGTTTGGAATTAGAAATTTTTAAGAAGAGTTAAGACAAAAGCTCATGTGAAGATAAAAAACATTTCCCATACGCTACGTCAGTACATGCAACAATATATTAATCTTGAAGAACTGATAGATTTTGCACGTTTTCCCTTAATGTATGCAGATCTGACCATTATCGGGTGATAGAGAAGTATCGTGGACAACACCTAAAATCGAAAGGTCCTATAGACAACTTGGAGACCCGAATTGCGGGCACTTGAAAGCTTCCATCAGTAGCTCTGCTGAGATAATCGCGCTATTTTAGATAGATAGGCCTTGTTAAGTGCTTGCCAGTAATGAGGAGTTGGCTTCAGAATGCTCTACGCGTCCACAACTAGGTATGAAACTAGATGACAGTATCTGGCTACATTCAAGATATCCACTTGTATTATTTATCTTTACAGGTATTAACTGTTTCCGTTTTATCACATTTGCCTTTGGGATCGCTTTTTTGCCGTAATCAATTTTTTTTTTCTTTTCTTTTTGCTAACAGGCCAGAAACATATCTTTATTTATTTATTTGGAAAATACATAGCTAGGCTTGATATGCATTTTATTAACACGCCGATAAAAATTATGGACGGCCATATTTGTTCGCCGTTCAGAAAAACAAATCGGCAATGTTTATGCTTCCAAGGCATACTATTACATCCCAAAAGCTGTATTTTTGTATAGCTTCATCTGTAAGCTTTTGGAGGGAACCACTTAAGTTCATTTAGGGTATTACCGCATCCTCGGACACTACACAATAGTGCTGGCTTAATTATACAATTTTCTCATTTACATGCTCAGACAAAGGCGTCATCCTTTGTAGCATTGGAATCGATCAATATAGATAGCGTAGTAATAGCACAGGCAATATCGCTCGCGAGCCTGGCGACGGCAGTTGTTGCTCTATGTTGCCTTTTTTTCACAGCTCATTGTATGTGACACAGTGTCAATAGGCAGAAAGTGCAATTTCCGTACCTTGTTGACCTTTCTACAGGTTCATGCAGCCCTTGACAATTTCAACAAATCTGACAACAAAACTGTGACCTTCAAAAAACATAATGTCTGTAATAAACATATTTTTCGTTCGTTGCTTGGAAAGTTTCTGAGGCTGCGATATCTATGAATACCTAATTCGCTCAGTACAGAAGATTGTTGACTTTCAGCTTGTAAGTTATCTCGACCGTACTTTATCTGGGCAGTTAGAGTCTTACTGGATTTAGCACATGCTCATATCTAAAAATGTTGCTAAAGGAATACATCTGAATTAGAAAAATGGCCGACTTTTAATGCGCTTATAGCTTCACTGCATCTGTGAAGACTCTTTTTTTCTTGCTAGTATGGAAGATACGTATTGATAGGATAATCCGTCCCCGATAACCAACTTTATTCAAATGTTTCCGCTGTTGAAAACGACCGAACAGATAGACAGTGCCTATCTGTTCGGTCGTTTTCGTGGACTTGAGTCGGACGGCTAAGCGTATTGAGTCCTATTCTAAAAAAATTGTTCAATTGTTTTGAGACCCGAAGTTTTTGGCAATATCGTGTTGAATGTGTATGGTAGACACTTCGCCTCGGGCACCCATGGACAGTCCGCAGAAAAACAGTGCTTAATATGGTGACCGAGAATGAGGTAGTAACTCTAAAGTTCTCGATTTCTTACCAATCGCAGTATTTGGCGCTATCGTAAGCCATCATCTGGCGTGTTCCCTGCAAACACGTCGGTTTTGGACCTTATACGATCCAGTTGGCTCGCCAGGCATAGTTTGTAGAGCATACGAAGTGTCTCACGTTTCACACATGGGCCGAAGGGTGGCGGTAATGCAATTATCATTTTGTATTGAAGATTTGTATGCCGTCAAAGTTTGAACGTTTTACGGTCTGAATAAATAAGCGATCACCATCAATCTGGCGATACGTTATACCACATTTTTCGTTGTTATGTATCTGTATACAGAATGTGCTATCGAACATCTACAGTCAAAAATGCTGTGCATATTAAACTCTATGTAAAACATCGTTTTCTCGCATTCCTACGTAACTAGACTAGAGGGTAAACAAAACTGCTTTACGTAGTCGTACGTAAACTCTTGTGGCATTTCATTTTGTGGAGTCAACGTAAGTGCATGGTGCAGATTCTGGGCAGCACAATTTTTTCTCTTATAATTTAAGTGTCAATAGTTTTTATTGCAAAGGCGCGTTGGAAGACATTTTGAAACCCAAATTTTAGATGGTATATGGCCTCTACGAGACGATGCTACCTATAATGGCCTATTCAAGACACTGAGGCAACTGAATGCTGAGTTCGATGGAGGCATCATTTCTCGCAGGACATTCGTACCATGACTGCCCTGTTCATGCAATTGAACGACACTGGACTCTTTCTGTTGAGCCCTTTTCAAAACAGAATTTATAATATAAGGCTTTCTATGACTGGAAAGTTACAAGACAGTATCTGACGTAAAGCTTGCTAGCTGTAAAGAAATTTCGAGATAACAGCGAGGTAGAGAGATTTTTATGCTGAATATGTTCATCCGATTTATATCGTCGATCTCAATTCGGTAGTACATCGGCAATGGATAAGCTTATGAACGTACGATTCTATACGCTCGACCCTAACTATAAACGACACAAAACGGACCAAAGCTACTATTTATAAGTTTATATTTTACACAATGTCGCTATTATGCACGTGATTACTAGAAAATATAGTTCTAAAGTAATCTATCACAAAATTCTCTAGTAATATTACCCCATGCCTGCCTCAAATTTGTTCACATACTGTAGGCATATGCCAATTTCATGGCTGAATATATTGTGGTTAGATAATGTGACCAGCATTGTCGCTGGGTTAGGGTACCGTTTCCTCTACAATCACAAGTTTGTCACACTGATAGCGCTCCGTCAACAGCAACAAATAATAGGCCCCTTTTTCCACGCCCCGTTTCCGTCTGAAGGAAACCAAGAGGTAGTTTTGCGTTGTCGCCGCGTTTGTGGTCGCGGCCGCTAGCTATTCACGATATCCTGTACGACGTAAAGGGAAAGGCAGAATCAGAATGGGACATGACTTTCTTCACAGCTCTCCTTCGTTGGCTCTTCGACCAACTGTGTGCTCCTGATATACTTCAAGGCGTGTGATCGCCTCTCCATGGGGCTCCTCGTGGCCGTCACTCGTTTGTGCCATTCGGTATGAGCGCGTGTCTGTGTGTGTGTTGGTGTGTATCGGTGTACAGAGTCCGTGAGCGTTCTTCAAAAGATTTTCTTTCCGGCTGTGCTCCCTCCAGCAACAGTGGCAGCTCAAGCGTCAAAACATTGGCGCAAGTTGTCGATTTTGCCTACCAGGGGTCGCTGTTAGCGTTCCTATTCCCATGTGTTAAGCCAGTTCTTCCAGTCCTCCTCCATTCCGCATTCGTTTGCCCGCTATCTTGCAGTGTGCTTTCTCGTTCAGCGTGTTTTGTGCTCGTAGCGGTTGCTGACGGCGGCGGAGGCGGCGAGTTCGTCCCTTCAACGCTCATAGCAGCGGCCGAGCATCGTCATTGCCCAGCCGCGCCTGTCCGAGAGTGGCATCTGCACTCACCGCCTCGGAATTCGCGCTTCCTCCCTGTGTTGTGCTGCGGTTCTCTTTTCTCCTGTCCGCCACCTCGCGTGATGAGCACCGCGTACTGTGTGAGTAGCGAGCGCCGGCTGGCTTTGCCGTGTGTGGGTCTCTCTGTCCGTCTGTCTGTAAGTCGATTCTTTCCTCCTCTCCTCACCGCGGCAGCAGCTACCGCGGCCGTTAGCCGGCCGACGAGGTAGTCCTGACTGGTGGCGGAAAGAGGCAAACCGAATTCAGGCAGCCGAAACGGCCAGCACCTGTGCTGCTGTTTATTGCTGCTAGCTAGCTAGCTAGCTACCGGCAATTACCAACTAGCGACTAGTAGCTGGCGACCGATCTGGTTCTAGAAGCAGCAGCGAAGCCCGCCGGCCATAGCGTATTACTAAACAGAACAGAAGCAGCCGTGCTTCTTGTAGCTGTCGACCGGCTGAACGTCGTCTGTCGGTGGCTTGTCGGTGACTTGGTGCATCTATCTGTCTGGCTCTTTGTTTTTCCGTCGTTTAGTCGCCTGCTATTCGCTGGCCCCTTTCGTCGGCGCCAACGGTGTCGGCGGCGGCGGTGGCGGCAGCAGCAGCAGCAGCAGGCGGAGTTGTGGCGGGCGTTGGTCCGGCCCGTAGGCAGGCAGACTCCTACCAGCACGACCGAAGCTGCTGTGGCTCGACTCACTCCCGCTCCAAAGCGTAGCAGCATCAAAGAAAGACGGGCTGCTATTTACCATTCGCTCTTACTACTCTACAAGTCTACCTAGAATAGATGGGTGAACATCCAACGGTAACCTACGCGACTCACACTGAAGGCCATTGATCATTCACGTTAGCCGGGTTGGTGCAAGTTGTCCTAACTCGTCTGCGCTGCTCAACTACTCCTAGAGAAAGTTCATCGGACATTTAAACTAACTTTTCAGTAGTTCACAAAAAGTTAAACAGCAGTAGCAGCATTCGTGTTGGCTACAACAGCGGCAAGCGAAAGTAGTGGACAACAGTGCTCAACAGGTCTGTGTCTCTGTTATTCAAACGAGAGTTAGTTCGGAAAACAAGTTAGAAGAAAAGTTCCGAACGAAGTTAGAAGAAAAGTTATCCTTGGGGGACTACTCATCAAAGACAGTAACATCTGTGCTTGCCAGTGCTGTTGCTGACAGCAAAAAGAAAAGTGACTGAGTAGTAACTATTGCAACGTTGGAGGCCTGCATTGCAATGAGTACTTGGGATCGAGTGGTGAAGTCGACCGAATTCGTGCTTCGTTCTCGTCCTAATGTGCCCCTTTTTGGGTAACAGTAACAGTGGATGTTGATGACAGCGTTGGTAACGAGCAGTGAGTGACTAAGATATACTTCGCAGAGGTGCGCTAAGACGAGAACGACATGGACGGTCAGTCTTTCCACGGCCACCCTACGCTGCCGCCCACCGTTGCTCCCAATGAAACCTGATTAGTTTTAAGACTTCTGCGATTCGACTACACTTTGCCTTCCTAGGTTTGGGCGTATGTTGCTTTTTCAGAGGCGCTGCTGGTAGGTATAATGTAATGCGACACATTAGGGAAAAGGCGCAGAGACGATAGGAGTGTTACGAGTGCCTGCCTACCTGCTGGAGCATTTGGGGTGGTTGGTGTGATTTTCTTTTCTCTATGTGGCCCGTGGTAGACTCATCTGTGTGTCTACTGTTGTGCCGTTGTGTAAAAGTGCTATGCTGATAATAATAATGATAACTGTGAGTATAATTGGCGCCTGCCTATGATTACTGGTGCTGCCTTACCCTGAGCACCGCTTCCGCTTATCAAAAAGCTTTGCCAACATCTATATAGGATCGTGAAAAACATACACTATAAGGCGAACAAGGCGAACTAAGATAACTTACTTAAAAGAAAGAACAACAGAGAACAGCACAAGGAGCGTTCGTCAAATCAAGACGGGTTGATAAATAAAAAAAGGGAAGAGGGCAATTACACATTTACAGGCACAGAAAGGGCAATCAGTAAGAGTAAATGTTGCTAATTGAAAAAAAGGACATTCGACAGCACAGTCGAGTTCGAGTATTGAGGTTGAAGTACTGAAGTTTGATGGTAACTACGTCACAATAAGGCGCACGTTATTGCGCCTCGCCAACGTTGTCTTATCACTGTTGAACGCGATAAGCTAGGTTTACAAAGCCGAAGTCTCTGAACTGCTGTCAACAGTTCATCTAGATCGAACCGTTTAACAATTCTTAAACAGACTGGCGTTTACGAACGTGGCTAGAAAAGTTATTGCTACAATACCGGTCGTCAAATGCTCCGTCATCGAATGAGCAGTGTCCTCATAATGTTTGACGTGTAATTACAATCGTATGCCACGACTACGCAAAAACGCATTTGGGCTGTTATAGTTAATGTCGGCACGGCAAAACACTACGTTACAAGGACAATTCAACACGGACGACCGTCTTAGTGTGTGGTTATCACTATCTGATAAAACTTCGTCTTGCCGTCGCGTTGCTACCATCAAAGGTGTTCTTTTTGCAAAAAGAAGTTTTCCCGACAAACAACAATGTCTGATTCTGTCGTTCGTACAGAAGCCATAGGATCGTAGTCCGCTTGTCATGACAAGATTTCCAACAAAGAAATTCTGCTCGAAGGTACAATAGCTCAGCTCTGAATTTCAATCAGCAGTATGCTACTGCTTGAAGAAACAGCCATTATTGCCAAAAGACATGATCGTCGCATTTGTTAACGTTATTTATGTTGTTACTACGACTATTATGATGGGTGTTACAGTTAAATCTACATGCTGTGCAACGATTTAATGATGGCATGAGGTGGCACTTGGCCGATATTGATCATCTTTTGTTCTCTTCAACGTTTGGTATCAGTGTTGTCGTTGTGGTTTTGTGACTTTTTGGAATACTCCATACGACGAGAATAATAGAAAGGACGACGACGACGACGTGCGTGTCTGTGAGCCGTTGCCTGCTTCTAGTGATATTTTCCCCAGGCCAGCATTAGCCGAAGCGGCGTCGCTCGGCAAGCAAAAAAGGACGAGTAAACCCAGTAAAATGTGTAAGTTTGATCGCAAACCGTGATTCCCCCGCTTTGTCTTTTTCACATTAGGTAAATAGGTACAGTCCTTGTCAATAGGCATAAAGCATAAATCGTTCGTCTCGAACTGGAAGCGTTTGCGTACATTAGAATTTTTGACATGGATATAAGAGGCCGTAGAACGTTATTGTCTTATATAGAGATAAATGAGAACGACCTGGCGGAACTTTTGCTTGCGTAAATAATGACGTGGCTATGGGTTCAGCTAGGCAAAATTAATGGCCTATAGTTCTTCTTATGTGCCACACTTTTTTCTTTGCTAGAATGGTTTTCGTATACAACGTTGCTCGAAAACTGTAGACCTGAAGGACACTGTTCTGGACGGTCACTTGAATTCGACTCATAACCAAAACCCTATTTTCCCTATGTTAATACACAGTTTCTTTTTATATACAACATTTGAATCGTTCAATGTCCGCCTTCTCGGACCCTGCAGTAGAAGCAGAGCAAAGCTTAAGCAACAATAATAACGGCACGCACATTACTTAAGTTGAATGCAAGCACACAGTGTTTCTTTTCATAGAAAAAATGTCTTTCTTTTGACCTGCGTACAAAAGACTCTAGGAAAAAAGGGCAGGAACGGACTCCGCCTCGGTTTCTTTTCGATCGACTCTTTGTTGTTTCGCGACAAAAGAAATTAACGTACTCCTGATCTTTAAACGCTTTCCATCCGTAGGTGGAGGCAATATGAACTTTGTTCCATTAATAGACAGCGGCGTGAATTTCACTTGAAGCTGTAATTCAGCCTCCGAGACATACGTTATTAAAAGGCTCAGTCAGAACAACTTTTATGCGAGGCCATCAATATTGATTATGATATCCGGTTGTTTACTAGGTATTGGAGGGTTACTCTAATTGACCATCACCAACATGTTGAAATAATTTTTTTTTTGCTGTCGGTAAATCCAAAGAACAAATGTATGGTTAGCATGCGCCTCCGCTCTTTATTTGGTCGAATCATCGTTTCTCTGACCCAGTCAGGGGTTTACATTGTTTCTTTACAATTACGCTATATTTATCGCTTGCATTATTGACTTTTAATGAGATCCTATTGAAATAAGGGTATCAACCATAGATACCCTTGTGCAAAAAACAGCACGTTTCGATTTCCATGTGAAACATGGAAGAAATACTTAGCAAGTTTGGGATTTGACCTTGGGACAGCTTGACACTATTAGTGGGGTGAGGCTATGTTTATGCGTTTAATGATCGATTCACTTCAAGAAACTTCAAGACCCGAAGCACCGTGTGTCACATGCCCTTAGCCTCTCTGTCATGTTGTCAAATTGCCGGAGCAGAACCGCAATTAATGTAATAGTCAGTAATAATAATAATATATAAACTCAACTTGGAAATCATGATGCTTTCAATCTGAGTTTGCTATCTTGTGAACTAGAAAAAAATGTATCCGGTCTTGTCTGACCCGAAATAATCCTCCAAAAGAGGTATAACTTCGTGTTTTTTGTTATGAGGTGGAATGATGCACCAGTCTGCCCTATAACAAACAATATCATGCACCCGTTACTGACATAAAGAAGATCTAGAAAGCATCAATCAGTCGTAAAGGAGGCATTATTAAAATCCTATACGTAAAAACGTTCTAGCAGCATGCTTTTAAACACACAAGTTTACCAGCCTCCGTTGAATTGAACGAACAAGTGTCAATCAAACAAGCCGTATAAAAACACTTATTGATAGAAAATAAGGACGAATTGGGCCAAATATGTATCACCACTCGTCGTGGTGCCCTAGGAAAGTCGTCCTTTCAAATTCAAGCATTCAATTCAATAATCATTTCCACTTATGCTGGTCGACTTTACCATTTCACAAACCTGAAAGTGGACCCGAAACATTTGAATGTCAATAGTTTCCCTCTGCTTGTACGTGTACGTGAAGCTTGCCGAAAGAAAGATGGTCTCAATTAATGTTTTTCTAGGCATTTCAAGACGCATCCATGCGATTATGAAGCAAAAGTACGACAAAATGCCATTTTCAACATCTAAAACTTGTGCTTAATTTACAAAAATGTGGGGGTCACTAGCAGTATTTAACAGAATATTAAGTTTGGTTGTAGGAGTGAAGACTGCAGTCCTTCTGCCAGGGTAGATAGGTACCTTATACAACTTAGTACAGGTATGAGAAACTGAGCCATATTCTATTTCTCAATCAAAACAGTTACGTGTCACCACTATTAATAGCCGGGGTGTTCAATTGAGCCAATCGAGGCTGTATGATTATATCAGCGAGACTGGGCAAAGACTTGTGCACCGTTTCGTTCCTTGGCGCACACTCTGACACAGAATAAATGAACGCTGAAAGGCACAGCACAAGGCCGATTAGGCTTATACGAACATTGAATATGTACTTATACGAAAGACTAGATGCTAACTCAAGAACGACGGACTCCACCGACGGGACGCCAGCTCAGCTTAGCTGGAACAGTTATCAACTATATATATGTAGGGAGAAATGAATTCCATGGAATCTGTTCTGATAGCAGATTGGGCGAAAGATCGAAAATGGAAAACGGGTTAGAGAACCTAGATACGATCTCCAAACTTGCCGTTTCAATTATTTCGACGTTGATGTTGATGTCGATGGCTGACTAACTCTACAGCGCTCCGCCATAGAATGATGCAAACATAGAGACTCTCCAGCGACGACTGAAAGCAAACGAGCCGCTGTTGCTTGTCTGGCTTTTCGTACACTGGCTCCTTTAAGGATTTTCTTTGATGAACATACGATGGGTCCTCTATTTAGCGAGCAGCGGAGGCTGGTAGCTCGTCGAGAACGCATTTGACACGAGGCAGTTACACATAGAGCCCCAATGGTGAGGCCCACGCTTGCTCGCTAGTCAAAGTTGATTTCTTTCACGTTTGGGTTTATGCTCGCTAGATGACTGATTCATTCGATCAGATTATGTGCGCTGGACATATTTATTAGTAATAATAACTAACTAAACTATATTGTTGCTGTGATCTTTATTTTTTTCTGGTTAGGAGACCGTACCAGAATCTACAACTTCACAAAGCGATTTCAGTGCTACAATAATTAGATCTTTTTTTCAGCGCAGGACATAACGTTACTAAGCGATTTATTCTGTGTTAAAGAATGAACATTGGTTCTTCCTCGGCAGAAGAACAAGTGGAATAGATGTTTTTAAACCCATAGTGATTATGGGTGCGCGATTTGATCAAAGCTCTATGTGACGTATTGTATTTTCACTCAAGTCTTATATCGAGTAGCAATAACATCACCCAGATGTATTCGTTCCTCAGATCAACAGTAAGGCCCGCTTGGTTACGTCAATTTGACGTTGATTCATTGCAGGAGTTAGTACTGTCGTTACGCTATTGCGAATGCGGTCCACAGCAACGGAGTCGTATTCTGCATTTTATTCTTTGAAACGTCTGATCTCAATCTGTTCCTCCATCTGTGCTAACTCGCCCGTTAATTAGACGTTATGGTTTATGGCCGGTATGGTTTCGGGCATGGCCAACACTTGTCCTAGGAGTGGCGGCTCACATAGTCTTTTATGCACTGACATCATTCGTTGTCTGGAAAGATTCTGACGTCCAGGAGGGAAGATGGCATCTAGCTATACTACGAGCTTCCACGCCATTGTCGCTGTTTAGATGTTTGGGTCAAGATCGGAAGAGGCGTGAATCGTCATATAGGTGTACGTTCTGCTTGATCTTCAAATGCGTTTTCACACTCTTGATTGTGATTTTTGATAGTGGCGTATATGTGACTTTACCATGCTGCGCGGTTCACTTGTTGTGAGTAAGTTAAAAGAGGGGTAATGGACATGTGTGCCAAGAACGTGGCTGCCTAATCTACGAATTTTTACCTGTCGAAATGATGTCCTCGATATGTTAGAACAATGCGATGTCTTGCAAAGATCCCTACAATGAACCGACATTTATTCTAATACAAACTAATAGAATTTTGTAGGTAATCGACTCTTCCGGTGTCGTAGCTTGTATGCACGCAGAGCCGAGCAACACTGACTAACAAAAGATGTTGACACTTTTATATCTCAGAAATACTCTATACTCGTCACCAGTTTACATCAGAGTGAATAACGCGTAGCCCCCGTTGACCTGAAGGATACCTGATAATTTAGTTCCGAATCCAGTCGTAAGCACAGTCCGTTTGGCGTTAAGAACAAGCCGTCTGACGCGAGTGCCCAAGGCGGTAGTGGACACAAAAGCACAACACATTTATTGGGTAATGTGCGCGCGTCATAGACCATTCACTTGCCACGATTCACAGTACCTCAATACTATTTATTTTACTTTGTCAGTTCCTCACCCAGTGCCTCTAACCTTTCCTAGTGCGTAAACTCTATGTCATTAAAGGCTGAAGCACCGATTAGCCGTCGTCATCGTTGTTATTACCTTCTACTGCCTTGCAACAACTTCTGGTACATTATTTCATGAATAAGACCAACCATGATGCGAGTCGCTATGACGTTCACCTAATGCACCGTACGTCTGTGTGTAGTACGTGACCAGTGTCACTGTTTTCAGTCGGCCAGTTTGCCCTACCTACGTGTTTATTATCTCTTTGCTGGGTCGAAATCGGTAACTCGTAGTAGGTACGGGACCTCGTAGCATCACTCCGTATCGTAGCTGCCACCCGCGTTCAGCGTGCTTTTTGTTGGTGCTCCATTTGTAGCTGACGATAGCGTTCTACTGTCAAATGGTACGGTCTGTATTAGCGTTGCTGGCGTCGTGGTTTTTACCTATTCGCGCAACAGTCCCAACCAACACATTGAATATATGCTCCTTCGGCGTTCCTCGACGACCGGATACGTTACTACCCATTTATAATTCTACAATTTTTAAATGAAAAAAAAAACGCTTGTTAAGAGTCTGAAGTCTCGAAAAAGCTGTAGTACAGGTATTGTCGGTATGGACGTACTATAGCCATATGTTCCACTGCTGCCGCCTGTCGGT